TTGTGGATTCCGCATTTCACTTTTATTTTTCAATAATGTTTTGTATGGATGTCCGTATTTCACTTTTATTTTCTAATTTTCTATTTCACTTTTATTTTCTTTTTTTGTATGGATGTCCGTATTTCACTTTTATTTTCTAATAATGTTTTGTATGGATGTCCGTATTTCACTTTTTTTTTCTATTATGTTTTTTTTATGGATGTCCGTATTTCACTTTTATTTTCTAATAATGTTTTGTATGGATGTCCGTATTTCACTTTTATTTTCTTTAATGTTTTTATGGATATTCCTTATTTTGGATTTTTTTTATTTTCTAATAATTTTTGTATGGATGTCCGTATTTCACTTTTTTTTTTTAATAATGTTTTTTATGGATGTCCGTATTTCACTTTTATTTTTTTGAATTTTTTTTTTCTAATTTTTTCTAATTTCTGTTTTTTCTAATAATGTTTTGTATGGATGTCCGTATTTCACTTTTTTTTCTAATAATGTTTTGTATGGATGTCCGTATTTCACTTTTTATTTTCTAATAATGTTTTGTATGGATGTCCGTTTTCACTTTTATTTTCTAATGATGTTTTTTATGGATGTCCTTATTTCACTTTTTATTTTCTAATAATGTTTTGTATGGATGTCCGTATTTCACTTTTTTTTCTAATGATGTTTTGTATGGATGTCCGTATTTCACTTTTTCTTTCTAATAATGTTTTTATTGATGTCCGTATTTCCGTTTATTTTCAATTTTTTTTATTTTCTTTCACTTTTATTTTTTAATAATGTTTTGTATGGATGTCCGTATTTTTCTTTTTATTTTCTAATAATGTTTTTATGGATGTCCGTATTTTCACTTTATTTTCCAATTTTTTTATGGATGTCCGTATTTCACTTTTATTTTCTAATGTTTTGTATGGATGTCCGTATTTCACTTTTTTTTTCTAATAATGTTTTTATGGATGTCCTTTTCTCTTTTTTTTCTCTTTTTTTTTTTTTTTCCAATGATGTTTTTATTCCGTATTTCTTTTTTATTTTCTAATAATGTTTTGTATGGATGTCCGTATTTCACATTTATTTTCTAATAATGTTTTTTATGGATGTCCGTATTTCACATTTATTTTCTAATAATGTTTTTTATGGATGTCCGTATTTCACTTTTATTTTCTAATAATGTTTTTTTATGGATGTCCTTATTTCACTTTTGTTTCTTATTAATGTTTTGTATGGATGTCCGTATTTCACTTTTATTTTCTAATAATGTTTTGTATGGTTGTCCGTAGTTCACTTTTATTTTCAAATAATGTTTTGTATGGATGTCCTTATTTCACTTTTGTTTTTTATTAATGTTTTGTATGGATGTCCGTATTTCACTTTTCTTTTCTAATAATGTTTTTTATGGATGTCCCCTAAATTTTCACTTTTTATTTCTTTTTATTTTCCAATGATGTTTTTTTATGATGTCCATATTTTTCTTTTATTTTTCTAATAATGTTTTGTATGATGTCCGTATTTCACTTTTATTTTTTTAATAATTTTTTATGGATGTCCGTATTTCACTTTTATTTTCTAATTGTTTTTATATGGATGTCCGTATTTCACTTTTATTTTCTAATAATGTTTTGTTTTTCATGGATGTCCGTATTTCACTTTTTTTTCTAATGATGTTTTTTTTATGGATTTCCTTATTTCACTTTTTTCTAATAATGTTTTTATGGATGTCCGTATTTCTTTTATTTTCTAATGTGTTTTGTATGGATGTCCGTATTTCACTTTTATTTTCTAATAATGTTTTATGGATGGATTTCCGTTTTTTGTTTTCTTTCTTTTTATTTTGTCCGCAATTCATTTTTTTTATGGATGTCCGTATTTCACTTTTATTTTTCTAATAATGTTTTTTATGGATGTCCTTTCTTCACTTTTATTTTCTAATAATGTTTTGTATGGATGTCCGCATTTCACTTTTTTTTTTCTGATTTTTGTATGGATGTCCTCATTTCACTTTTATTTTTCTAATAATGTTTTTATGGATGTCCGTATTTCACTTTTATTTTCTAATGATGTTTTTATGGATGTCCTCATTTCACTTTTATTTTCTAATAATGTTTTTTATGGATGTCCGTTTATTTCACTTTTTTTTATTTTCTAATAATGTTTTTTATGGATGTCCGTATTTCACTTTTATTTTCTAATAATGTTTTGTATGGATGTCCTATTTATTTTCACTTTTTATTTTCTAATTCTTTTGTATGGATGTCCGTATTTCTTTTATTTTTTTGTTTTTTATGGATTCCTTGTTTTCTAATGGATGTCCGTATTTCAATTTATTTTCTAATAATGTTTTGTATGGATGTCCGTATTTCACTTTTATTTTCTAATAATGTTTTTTGTATGGATGTCCGTATTTCACTTTTATTTTCTTTAATTTTTTGTATGGATGTCCGCATTTCACTTTTTTTCTATTTTTTTTTGGATGTCCGTTTTATTTTCTAATATGTCCGTATTTCACTTTTATTTTCTAATAATGTTTTTTATGGATGTCCGTATTTCACTTTTATTTTCTAATAATGTTTTTATGGATGTCCTCATTTTCACTTTTTTTTTTCTAATAATGTTTTGTATGGATGTCCGTATTTCACTTTTATTTTCTAATAATTTTTTATGGATGTCCTTATTTCACTTTTATTTTCTAATAATTTTTGTATTTCCGTTTTCACTTTTATTTTCTTTAATGTTTTTATGGATGTCCGTATTTCACTTTTATTTTCTAATAATGTTTTTGTATGGATGTCCGTATTTCACTTTTATTTTTCTAATAATGTTTTTGTATGGATTCCGTATTTCACTTTTTATTTTCTAATAATGTTTTTGTCCGTATTTTCATTTTATTTTTTTTTAATTTTTGTATTTTATTTTTTCTAATAATGTTTTGTATGGATGTCCGTTTTCACTTTTATTTTCAATGATTTTTGTTTGTCCGCATTCACTTTTATTTTTCTTTTTTTTATGGATGTTTTTATTTTCTTTTTCTTTTCTAATAATGTTTTTTATGGATGTCCGTATTTCACTTTTTATTTCTAGTTGATGTTTTGTATGGATGTCCTTATTTCACTTTTATTTTTTCTAATAATTTTTTTATGGATGTCCGTATTTCACTTTTATTTTCCAATGATGTTTTTTCTTTGTCCTTTTTCACTTTTTTTTTTTAATAATGTTTTTCTGGATGTCCGTTTTCTTTTTTTTTCCAATTTGTTTTGTATGGATGTCCTCATTTCACTTTTTTTTTCTTTTTTTATGGATGTCCGTTTTCTTTTTTCTTTTCTTTGTTTTGTATGGATGTCCGTATTTCACTTTTTTTTTCTTTGTTTTGTATGGATGTCCCTATTTCACTTTTTTTTTTCTAATTGTTTTTCTGATGTCCTTATTTCTTTTTTTTTTCTTTAATGTTTTGTATGGATGTCTGTCTTTCTTTTATTTTTCCCCTAACGTTTTGTATGGATGTTTATTTTCTAATGATGTTTTTTATGAATGTCCGTTTTCTTTTATTTTCTAATAATGTTTTTTATGGATGTCCGTATTTTTTCAATTTTTTTCTTTTAAATTGTTTTGTATGGATGTCCGCATTTCACTTTTTATTTTTTAATAATGTTTTTTATGGATGTCCTTATTTCACTTTTTATTTTCTAATTTGTTTTGTATGGATGTCCGTATTTCACTTTTATTTTCTAATAATGTTTTTATGGATGTCCGTATTTCACTTTTATTTTCTAATAATGTTTTTATGGATGTCCGTATTTCACTTTTATTTTCTAATAATGTTTTTTATGGATGTCCTTATTTCACTTTTATTTTCTAATAATGTTTTGTATGGATGTCCGTATTTCACTTTTTTTTTTCTTTTTATGGATGTCCGTATTTCACTTTTATTTTCTTTCTTTTTTTCTGGATGTCCGTTTTCACTTTTTTTTTTTAATAATGTTTTTATTTGTCTTTATTTCACTTTTTCTTTCTTTCTTTCTTTTTTTATTGTCCTTTTTCACTTTTTTATTTTTCTAATCCAATGTCCTTCGCACTTTTATTTTCTAATAATGTTTTTTATGGATGTCCGTATTTCTTTTTTTTTTCTAATAATTTTTCACTTTTATTTTCTTTTTTTGTATTCTGTCCGTATTTCACTTTTTATTTTCTAATAATGTTTTTTATTCTTTCCTTATTTCACTTTTTTTTTCTAATAATGTTTTTTCTGGATGTCCGTTTTCACTTTTTTTCTTTGTTTTTTTCTTTTCAATGATTTTTTTATGGATGTCCGTATTTCACTTTTATTTTCTAATAATGTTTTGTATGGATTCTGTATTTCACTTTTATTTTCCAATCAATGTTTTTATTTCCCTTATTTCACTTTTATTTTCTAATAATGTTTTGTATGGATGTCCGTATTTTGCTTTTATTTCTCATCCTTTTTTTATTTCTTTCTTTCTTTTTCTTTATTTTCTTTCTTTCTTTGGATGTCCGTATTTCACTTTTATTTTCTAATAATGTTTTTATTGTCCGCATTTCTTTTTATTTTCTAATTTTTTTTTTTTGGATGTCCGTTTTCACTTTTTTCATTTTCATTTCCAATTTTCTAATAATGTTTTTGTATGGATGTCTTTCTTTTATTTTCTTCTGATGTTTTTGTATTTGTCTTTCTTTCACTTTTTTATTTTCAATTGTTTTTTATGGATGTCCGCATTTCACTTTTATTTTTCTAATCTTTTTTTATGGATGTCCTTCACTTTTTATTTTTCTAATGATTTTTTTATGAATGTCCTTATTTCACTTTTTATTTTCTGCTTTTATGGATGTCCTTTTTCACTTTTATTTTTTTTGGATGGATATTTTTTATTTTTCTTTCTTTTTTATGGATGTCCGTATTTTTTTTTTTCTTTTTTGTTTTTATGCATGTCCTTTTTCACTTTTTTTTCTGTTTTTGTATGGATGTTTTTTCTTTTCTAATAATGTTTTTATGGATGTCCGTATTTCACTTTTTTTTCTTTGTTTTCTTTGGATGTCCGTTCACTTTTTTATTTTCTTTAATAATTTTGTTTTTTTTTTTCTTTTCTAATGCTTTCATCCTTTCCGTCTTTCTTTCTTTTTTTTTCTTTCTTTTTTCTTTCTTTGTCCCTAAACTTTCAGCTTTTATTTTCTTAATGTTTTCTATTCTGTCTTTCTTTCACTTTTTATTTTTCTTTTCCTTCAATTTTTTTCTATGGATGTCCGTATTTCTTTTTATTTTCTAATAATGTTTTTATGGATTCCTTTTTTTTATTTCTTTCTTTCTTTCTTTTTCTTTTCTTTATTTTTTATTTTCTGATTTTTTTTCTTTCTTCCTTTATTTTTTCTTTTTTGTATTTTTTTTCATTTTTTAATTTCATTTCTTTTTCTTTTTCCTTGCTTCTTTTCTTTTCTTTTCTTTTTTTTTTTTTCTTTCTTTCTTTCTTTTATTTTTTTCACCTAAACTTTCAGCTCTGATTTATCTTTTTTTTCTTTCTTTTCTTTCTTTCTTTCTTTTCCTCTTTTTCACTTTTTTTTTCATTTCCGCATTTCCTTCGCCTTCCTTTTTTTTTTGCTTCTTTTCTTTTCTTTTCTTTCTTTTTTTTTTTCTTTTTCTTTCTTTCTTTTTACCCCTAATTTCAGCTCCTTATCTGTTTCTCTTTCTTTTCTTTCTTTCATTTCTTTTCTCAACTTTCTTTTTGTTCTCTATTTCACTCATTTTTTCTTTGCCCTTTATCTCCTCTCATTTCTTCATCTCATTTTCTCAACTTTCTTTTTGTTTATTTACTCATCTTTTTTCAGTGGTCATATCACGCTGAATCACCGGTCCTCGTAAGATCACCGAAGTTAAGCAACATCTAACCCTGGTCAGTACTTAGATGGGTAACTTCGTGGGAATACCAAGTACTGTTAGCTTGGACGTGCGGATGCTATAATGGAAATTAACTCGGAATTGTTAATCGGAGAGCCTAGTTCGAATTGCAGTTGGGTTCGTAATATACAGTTAGACACAAATACCTTTGGGAACGGTATGAATTCTCTGCTGCTCCCCCAACATATGGGTTAATTAGTAAAACTTTTATCACTAAATCATTATTATCGCTAAAATATTCTTACGGTCTAAAAATATTTTCTGGCTTTAAATAATCTACAAAGGATTGATAAACCGTAAAAAAACGAATCAGTCAACTATTTTCCTCTTACCATCGGTTCCTTGACATATATCAACACACAATGACAGATATCCACACACAATGACATATATCAACACACAATGACAGATATACACACACAATGACATATATCAACACACAATGACAGATATCCACACACAATGTCATATATCAACACACAATGACAGATATCCACACACAATGACATATATCAACACACAATGACAGATATCCACACACAATGACATATATCAACACACAATGACAGATATCCAAACACACACAAAGTTACGAACAATGCACTTAAAGTAAGTAATAGTTCGTCCATTTGGTAAAGCCTAGAAAATACACCGACGGCACGTACTGCAGGCGGATAAGATCCCTTCAAAAGTAAATGCTTACAATCTCAAATAAAGTCAACCAATATTTGCCTAACTCCGAACCGTGTAAATGGTTGCCTACTTAAATATAAACGACAGCTATTCACCTATGGCCACGTTAATTAAATGATGGCAGACTCAAATATAAACGATAAACGACCAATATTTACCTAACTACTAAGTAAATGCTTACTTATTCAATTATGAACAATCGATTTCTGGGTACGAAGTAAGTTCATATGGAAGGATATATAGAGCCCTCCGGCTGATTGGCATTTGTTTACATTCTTAAAAACAATATGCTAAATTTAGCTGTTTCACTCTGATGAGTGAAGATAGCTCTGATTGACCCCAAATCATTTAGGTTTCGATCCTGGCTTGAGGCATTCAGATGTCTATTCGCACTGAGGAGCTGTGATACTGTCTGTGAATGACATATATATATATATATATATATATATATATATATATATGAAGCCACACTGAAGAGCTTTGATACAGCGAAACAGGCTTGTATGTGGATGACTATATATATATATATATATATTAAATTAATTGATTTAAAATATGTTTTTTTTCGCTACACAGTTCTAACCATGTTTCAAAAGCCACGAATTTAATATTGCAATTAAATTAAAGACATTAGTTCCATTTCATCCTCAAGCGAATTTTGGAGTAACTTTTAAAATTAAGACACAGCTAAAATCCCGTTTCCAAAGTTACAGATAAATCTACTTCAATTGGACAAGGGTTGTCTGGTTTTTTTTTTATGTCTGTATCATGGTTAGAACTGTGTAGCGAAAAAAAAAAACATATTTTAAATCAATTAATTTATAATATTAATGCTCTGTAAATTTACATTGAGCACTATTTTGTAAAAATAAAAATATCTATAAGAACACGGATTATATATCTTACCATTCTATCTTTTTATTTAAATACAAACATACATACATACATTCATATATATATATATATATATATATATATATATATATATATATTCTGTTTATACGTTATTTTTATAGATACAATTTATTTAAACATATGCTTTTGTAATTAAACATTTATCGGCCCGAATGTACGAGAAATACTGTTAAAAACATGTCATTTACTTAAATTATATCTATAAAAATAACCTGTAAACAGAAAATATATTGAATAACTGTTGAACTTAATCCATTTCACACACACACACACACATATATATATATATATATATAAGATGAAGATCAAATGTTGATCAGGTATAGATAGGTAGCCGACAAGATGATAAAAGAGAATAAAGAACAAGTCGGAAACGTATCTCAATCTAATATGTTTCACTTTTATCAAAGCTTCGCCAGAGATCAATATAGAAAAAAGGAAAAAAGGCACAAAGTACTGGTATGTTATCATTTTTGGTTAGTTCTTATTGATCAGATACTTGTCACGTGTATAAACTCAATAGATAATATATAAATATGCGTGAAGATTATTTTGGACGTTAAAATGTGATAGTGTAAGAGTATGTATGTAAAGAAACACTTGTATGTCTAGGTGTATATTGGACGGTAACGATAATTCATGTAAGTGTGTGTAAGAGTGTAGATGTCACCCTTGTTTATGCCGGTGTGGGGAATGTTCGTTATCGCCACCTTTGTGTGGTCGGTGAGATGTATCAAGATATTGTAATAATCATGTTTTGGTTGGGTTTCACATTAATGCATTTCTTTTGCTTATATTCTGAAAAGGATTTGCAAAATTTACATTATTTTATGTATTAGAGAGACATAAATTAGGTTCATGAATAATGCCTCTGTAGAAAGATGATGATATGATGCAATGTTTCAAACGAGTGTTTTTAGTTGATTATTGCTTGATTAAAGGTTTATATTCTTTTTTTTTTTTAATTAGGCTGGAATTAGTGAAATCAAAGTTTTGTCCTACATCGTTTCGATGTAAGACATTACAGTTAGAATGACTGTCTAAACGCAAGTTTCTCTTGTGTTCGTAGATCTGGGTTTTTAGATTACGTGATGCCTCCCCCACGTAAATGTGTTTTTTTTTATACTGTAGATATTTTATCTGATAAATTCCAGCATTTGAAATGGTGATTGGTTTATTTTTCTTCCTGCTTATATCCCCGATTTTCTTGGAGATGATCCTAGAGTTAGGGTTGGCTAATTCATTTGAGAGTTTAGCCGAAATTATTATTATTGAACATTTGTGGTGCATTTTGAAGCAACAAGTTAGGAGCCGCTATCCTCCACCGTCGTGTTGTAAAGAGCTGGTGAAGGTGTTAATGGAAGAATGACTGAAAATTCCTCTGGATGAAGTTAGGAAGCTGTAGGATTCCATTCCTAGACGTATTAAAGCTGTCTGTGAGGCTAAAGGAGGACCAACTCCATATTAAATAATTTTTCTTTGAATTGTTCCAAGTGTTCCAATCAAGTGTTCCAATTATTTTGTCCAACCTCTGTATATGGTCAATATTTAATTATTCTTGAACCAAGTAAATATTTACAGATGTTACTATAGATATCGGTTCTTTTTCTGTTAATTCAACCCAAATAATATAGACTTACTCATTGCAAAAATGAATTCACCCTAAGATAGTATAAGTTTTTTTTTTTTTTTTTTTTTTTTTGTTTGTTTGATTTTTCATTAAATGTTTGGCACTGTTTTGAAATTCTAAATCAAAATTTGTTTAGCTTGCCTCGGGTCAAATTCAACCCACAGAATCCAAATTTACCAAAATTCACATTTCTTAAGAGCCTATGACGTTCGATGTACTTGCAAGGAAGTTTTTACAATCCCCCCCCCCAAAAAAAATAAATAAATAAAAATAAATAAATAAAATAAATAAATATCCTTTTGACTTGTTTATATGGGGGTGAGCGCGACAAAGACCCCACACTTAGAAACAGTGCATCCGAGTCGCCTACATTTGGGGCGATCGCAAAGTCCAACCCAATCGGAGTGCAATGGAAGGTCTTCTCTATGGGAGAATTTGGTGTGAATTTTAGTAAATATAAATTCTTTTTTTTTTGGAGTAAATTAATAGAAAATATCCTAAACTTTAAATATTTATTTATCCCCAAAAACAAGCACATGCTTTTGACTCAGATATAAAAGACCGTATTTCCTTAGGCCAGAAATATGTAAATTGCCATTTAATAAATATAAACCACTAATATTTACCTATCTAAGAACAAAGTAACATGATTTTAGACTCAAATAAAACTACATCTATTTACCTACCTCATAGATGAAAAGAAAATTGGTGGCAGCATAAATTTAGTTCTACAGAAGGCTGCTGAGAATACCATGGATGGGTCGCGTAAGAAACGAAGCAGTGTTAAGAAAAATGGAAAAAAAAGGGATTTACCTAGAAATACCTAGAATCAGAAAGAGACAGCAGAAATATCTTCGATAATGAGGAAAGTAGGTCTGGTGAAATTGAGACTCACAAGACCTATTGAAAGTAAAACTAACAGGGGAAGTTATGGAGGCATCTACCTGACGATCTTGTGTAATGGCGTCGGTAGGATGGAAAAAAGTCAAATGCTTCTAAGAGCTAAAAGAGATAGGAAGTAGTGGAGAGCTATGATCGACCTCGTCCTGAAATGACATACCTTATAGGAGCATATGAGAATATTTACCTATCCATGAACCACTTATATGTTTATAGACTTAAGTATAAATAAATAAATAAGGACTGATTTCGATATTGAATGACCCAACAAGTGTTGGTGTGTCATGTATCTTCAAATCCCTCAGCTCAACCGCTTATTAGTCTTGTAAGCTGTTATTCTTGAGTTCAGTTCACGTTGGGTGTTCTAAAATTGTGTCTTAACGTCAAGCCAAAAAAAAAACGGAATTTAGCATATTACGACACAACAACGAATGGAGATAAGTAAGATCGTGTAACGCCAAGCAATTAATCAAGGAACATTTGCCTAATGAGAAAATCAGATTACGATTCTTGAGTTCTGTTATAGCATACCTACGGACGATAATGGGTATGTTCCCATTTGCATAAATACTGTAGTTAATACTGTATGTTGGTCTGCAGTTGGAGATTTGTCTCCAGAGTTTGAGCAGCTGTGCTGGTCAAACTCTCCACCTCCGGGCAGAGAGGATCCCCAGAAGAAGTCGAAGGGCAGAGTCTCGTCTCGGGAAACAGCAACCCGACCCCGTTTTATACGGGGTCTACAGGGAATTTTTAGCTGAGCCTACGGCCTTGTGCCACATCTGACCGCGTGGGGCGGTTGATAGATATCCTGCAGTTCGAGATTCATTGGGGAATTCGCTTGACTTCCTTCTAGCAGTTGACTACTTCTTCGACACGCCATTGGAGAATCTTATATGTGTTGTT